CATGTCTGAGCAACTACAGTAACAGTCTTATGGTGGACAACATCTGCTTCAACATTGTTTGTACCTGTGTAGTATTTTGACGTGTGAACCAGAGTTGTGGCAACAAGTCATTTTTAGGTCTGCTCTCTTCCCATGTTAATAAGGACAGAGTTTATTGATCCTTGTTTCAGCTGTGTAATAGGGGCATTTTGAGGTTTCCCTTGTGTAGCACAGAACACTATTGGGAGTAAGCATCACAGAGAGACAGTGGTGAGATCGGTCTAGGGTTGATTTCCCACTGTTTCCTCCTCAGCCATGAAAGATCATATGAGATCAAGCCCGAAGTTGCTTTGGTGAGCAGTTACTTTCATTACCAGCCATCACTTCTGTCTGTCACCTGACCTGCTGAGTTGGCCTGTACAGTTGAACTTTTCTAAATATATACAAACCAGCTAATCCAGATATGATGTGACTGCAGTCTGACTTTTTGCTTTGTTTAGAGTTTCAGCTGGAGGAAAGGATTTAATATTTACCAGTTGTTTGGTTTTGGGTGGTTTAGCCCTGCAGAGTTTATGAATTCTCCATGGGCAATAAGTAAAATGTTGTCATTGGAAGGCTAATTGTGGCAGGGCTGATATGGTAGGGTTCACTCTTAAATCACATCCTTGACTGGAAATGAAATGGGGAGAAAAATAGTTGTCCTTAGAATGTCCTATGACATATACTTGCTTATTCTCCAAGGAACTCAATCCTGCACTTTCTGGGGCTTAGACTTGCCTCTGCAGGACTGCTGTTTTTAACAACTTGACATTTTACTCAATCTGTTTTGTCTTAACAAGCCTACCACTGGCATGGTGTGAATGGGGGAGAAGGCAGGAAGCAATGAGGCCAGAGGAAACCCCAGAGATGGTCAGAAGGCTTCATGAAGCTCTTTTAAAATAAAATGGTTTCTTTATTTCTGGTATGATTCTTGCGTCATCATGTCTATTACTTCAATATTTGGCAGAGAAGTGTGAACACGACCGTGCAGGCCAGAGCCTTGTGCAAAACAGATGTCCACAGAAGTGACATCCACTTTGCACAGGTGTTTCTGGTCATAGCCAACTATTCTGGCAAGCTGGAGCTTGTGGAAATGATGCAGTTTGTGCGAAAAATTTAGTTTAAGAGCTTTCCAAACCTTGATACTAGGTTTTAAATAAGACTGTATCTTGTGTGGTAATACAGACACCTAAATATTGTTAAGCATTCTGGTTAAGTGCATTTGAACAGGCAAGACTGGCCACCCATCCTGAACTACTTTCAGCTCCTTCACAGGCAGCTATGCAAGAAATTATCATTTGTCATACAATATTTGTATTGTCTTCCAAAAATTTACTTGAGAGCAGTGATGCATCTTATGCAAAGTCAGTCTATATTTGATATTTTTTATATATACTACTGATGAGATTTAATAATACAAATTTCTCGTTCAGTTATCAGAGGGATAACAAAACGTGATTTTTGATTGAATTTACAAGGTTAAAAAAACTTTTGAAACATGCACTGCAAGGTAGCCAAAGTTAACAAAATTTTTGGAAGTATATGTCCAGCTGGGGAATATTTTTAAAAGAACTAAATGAAACTTTTTGTTTACTTAGACTGAATAGTAAGCAAGAACTGATTTTACAAGACCTCATCATACATATGGATAAAGTTAATGTAAGGTAGAAAGATTAAATTAATCAAAAGTTTTAATTATTTCTGGACATTTGTTTGTTATCTTTTACTTAGGTGTGTATAGTAGTAGCCATGTTTCTTTAACACCTTACACCAGATCCTTGGCACTATTCCCAGCTTTTCCTGACGGGGGAATGGGGTATGCCTGAAGCACTGTTGCGCTTTGACCGCACAGAGTTAGGTTAATGATATTACAAGATGGCACAAGTTAGAGGAATTGCAAGCACTGAAGGCTGACATTTGGAATTTTCCTTCAGCAGGGAATGTTTATATTTCAAAATCTTATTTCTTTTGAATTGAGATGAAAAGAACCTTGAAAAAATTGAAAAAACCCTTCCCTATGAAACAAAATGGCACAAAAGATGTTATCAGAATGTTTTAAGTTGAAATAAATAAATTGAAGCATTCTGTTCCAATTTAAAATTAACATTTTTATAGGAAAAACTCTAAATGTAAAATTTTTGAACCAAAAAAAAAAAAGATTTTTTTTTTTCCTATGGGGGTCATTTTGTCATTGCTTCCTCACTCCCTTAGTACAACAAAAAAGTTGCAACTGACACATTGCAATGGAATTGTTAGAGTTTTCTTTAATTGGAAGACTGTACTCATAAAACTGTTTAAATTAACCCACACTGCAAAGCTTGTCCCCTACAGGTCTTTAGTTCAAGAGAGTTGAAATATGACATAAAGCTGCCTAAGTCTTTCCTCTTGCAAGATACTGAATCCAGATACAAGGCTTCACCGTACTTCTATACAGTTTAAATAATTCTTTCTGAATCTTTTTTTTTAATTTAAGGATTTCTTAATATTTTCCTGATGAGGTAGAGACACCCATTGAACAAGTTTAATTGTGCTGGTAGCATGACCATTTCTGATAGTTCACTTTTGTGAGCTGGTCAGGAGGGTCTCATAAATGTGCAGGGATTTTAAGAGAACAAATTAAAACCGTTAGGTTCCATGATGAGAAGTCTTAACCAGATAGAATGTGCATGTTTAGTAAACTGTTCTGTGGATTTTCCATTTGGATCAGCTTTTCAAAGGAGGTTTAATCCACAGCAGAGCGTTCACTCAGAGAAATTCTGTGGTCAGTGTTGTATGGCAGGTAGGACTAGAAGTTGGTCCTGAATCTGTGCATAAATTAAAATATAGCAGATTTGTGTGTCTGCTTCCATTTGTTCTCTTTGTTGTTAGCATGATTTTCATAGCACGCCTTTAAAATTTGGGCCTGCATTGGCCCATTGGTTTAGAAATAATAAAAAACCTGATCTATAGCTGGTATGAAGCCTGAGATGTCAGACTTGAGCTGTAATGGAATGGCTTATCTAAGCCGATGATCTCTTCTTCCATGTCTAGCTGATGAACTAAGTTGTTGTGCCAACTGTGAGATATTACAATTTTGCTTGTCCCATGCTCCTTGACTCATATGCATCAGCCTTTGGACTCAGCACCTGATCAAAGGGAGGTGATATGTAAGGCTGTTATTAGGGAGCAAAGCTGTTTATGGTAGGTGTAATGGAGTCTTCTACATTAGATGATGATCGTGGTACTGTACAACTGACTGTAGCCCAAAGGAGTCCTGAAACAAAACATGCATCAAGAGTGCAGAGACTCAGTGTGATTTTGATTTTGTTTTTAGTGATTTCACATTTTCATCTCCTATAATCTTTAGCCAAAGTCACCAGGCTAAAGTCCTGAATGGTCCATCAATCACGACAATGGTAAAGAACAAAAAAGCACAGTCCTCAAATGATGGTAAGGGTTGATTGTTTTGAGCTAATGTGTGAAAGATGTTTTTTCTTCAATCTATGATTATTTTAATTTAAGTATAAAGGCATTTTGGACGGTTTTGTATTAGTGGGCTGAGATCTAGGGTAGACTCTTGTTAAAGATTTTGAACCAAAGTAATCACAGATATAGACATGAACTATATGAAGGCGTGTTTTAAAAATGGGGAGTTTCATTTGTGCAAGAATGGGCAAAGTGGCATGCAGACCCGTTCTTTTCCGTAGTATTATTACATATCAAGGTCCATGTGCTGATAGAGGAGAAGCCATTTCACTGCATGGCCCGGTGTAGTTGAGTGCATCTTACTTGAGTAGGCATTCAATGCATCTAAAAATAAATGCAAAATAAATATCTGAGGGGAAGCAATGAAGTCATTTAATGCGACTGTAGTTGGCAAACAAGAACAGAGCAGGTTTTCTCCTTTTTTTACCTTAAACTAACTTGCTTATTGCTTTTCTTTGAGCCACACATATTTGATTCTTGTTGAAATTAAATTATGATGTCAGCTCTTTTCAGTCACTGAATGTCACGTTTACAGAAACTTGATATGGACCCATACACTTGCAATATTTTATGATATTTTAATCATTATAAATTCTCCTTAATATAATTCTTTTGAAGCAAAAATGAAGAAATTCTGGTCCTCATGCACAGAAAAAAAAATCAATAATTAAAACTCTTTTATGTTTTCATCCTAACCTGCCATGTGTTCATGTGTTCTTGATAATGTAACATTATGCAATTTGTAATGTTGTCACATGGAATGAGACTCTCACTTTCAAGACACAAACGGCCCTAAAAAGTGTTTCTAAATTCTTCTCTTCCTGTATTCTAATCAAAATACAGGCCCTCATTCAAAATCCATGGAACAATTTGTGAATCTTTCAGTGTAATTCGTGGGTTTATCTGAACTCCAGTCCTTCTACAGAAGACTGAACAATATTATTTCTCACAAACAAATTGCCAAGTTGTTCTCACAAACACTGGGCAAATTGCAGGATTCTGCAGGCAGAATTCTGTTATTTGCAGGATTTCAGCTTAGATGTTAACTGTCCCAGTATAAATGAGATTTTGCAAAATTGTCCTACATCCATAAGTCTTCTGAATAGTATCATTCATTTTTTTGAAAGTTTAGAAAATGTCAGAAACTGTTTTTCATTTAGTTTACTATTCATTCTTCTTCAGCTGCTTATATGAAGGTAGAGAAAATGCTTCCTACTGCCTGACTCCGAGAAAACAATTTAGAGTTCTTTGTAAAATATTAAAAATATTTTCTAGAAAGATAATTTAAAGCTTCTATATATATTAAATGGGTTAAGAAACACTCTAGGCTGCTCATGCACCTATATATTTAATCTATGTCCGCTGTATACTTCTTCACTTTCCTTAATGAAAGGCTTTTCTGATAAATCTCCTCTAGGACTTGTTTGAATTGGCAGGCTGAACTGCCAAGCCTTGTTTTTACAACTTTTCAACTACTTATTTTTTCTTTTTTTTTTTTTTCTCCTAGAAATTATACTAAAAAAATCCCCTCTTTGAACAAGCGCTATTTTTTGGTTTGCTTGTCATGATAATATATGAACTATTTGTAAAAATACTGAAGAGCTGAAATACTTTCCTTAAAATCTTCACTTTATTTCCTATGGAAAAGTTTGTATCTGTATGGCTTTTCCTGTACAGGACACTTCAGCTGAAATGGACATGAACATAAAAATTCTCAACACATGTCAGCTCTACCTATACAATTAAAAACTATTGCAGATGCTTGTGTGTCTGCCCTGAGGGTCTAACAAACCAATTTAATAGATAAGACTTTTCCCTAAATGCATATTTTATGATAAAATTCCGGTTTTCATCCCCATCTTTTTCTTATTCTTAGAAAACAAAGTTATATGTTATATGACCTGTATTATTAGAGCTATGAGCTGTATAATTTTGGCCATCTATAGGTTTTAGAGAATTTACCATAGTTAATAATGCTGAACATTAGCAACTTGGCCTGCTAAAGCAGAATAATCTAAGCTCTAGAGAGGAGATTTTTTTTTATTAGAAAGAATTGAGCAGAATTCAGTGTATTACTGTTTTCTTAAACCTGATTTTATTCTTGAAACAAATAAACAGAACAGAAATGCTTCATATTTAATGAAAGAGATTTTTAGCTAAGGTTCTTTTATGTGGATCTTTGTGGCATGTGAGATCTTGAAAAAGCTAACAAAGTAAAAGTAAGGTCTGATAGAGATCTTTGTGTATGTAAGAATTTGTCTGTCTTCTACGTGAATTTGGAACAGATGTTGTTCATTAAATTTATTACCTACCATAAATGATTTAGCGTGAGCTAGTGATTTGAGGGAATCCCAGGTGTGCACTGCTACAAAAGTAGTACACTGGTCAGAACTTGTTAGTCATGGTGTCTTCCTACAGATTAGAGCCTATCCTGTTCCGCAGAGATTTTCAAAAGATTTTATGTATAGCTGTGTGCAAAAGGATGCCTTTGTGCAGACAGCCATGGAAATCATATTTAAAGGTTGTTATATTTAGCGTATATACTAGGCCATTTCTGCATATTTTTACAAGGTCAAATTGATCAAATTTGCCATTTACTGATTCATTTGCCTAATTCCATTACATTTTTACATTCGTAGTTTTGAAAAGACAGTATACAAACCTGTGTTGATTAGCATTTCCATTTGTGTGAAAATATGACCTGTAGATATTTCTGATTTTTAAAATTTGTCATTTCTGAAAGTGACATTACTGCTCAGTTGTAGCTATGTGTCTCCATGACAGATTGCATATCTTGCACAAATAGCTATTTTTTTTCTTTTCTGCATGAGCAAGATTTGAAAGGTAAAGTAGATCTGAGAAAACTCAAATAAGCAGCTGCAGAAACTGTATTTTACCTGTGGAAGCATGCAGCCTCTGCCAATTTAAAAAAAAAAAAAAAAGCTACTGGAGAAAGGAAGAGGATGAAATGCTCCCTCTACAAGCACAGAATAAGACAAATCGAAAAATCTAAACAAATCTATGTCAGGGAGAAAGGAGGAATTTCAATTCTATAGTTATCTAATGATCTAACAGAGATGTTGTAATTCAGGATGAAGTAGACAACAGACTACTTTGGGGCAATATAGGACAGATGAGACAGAAATGAGGTATAAAGCAACATTTTTTTCCCTGCTTTGGGAACACTGAACTTAGTTCTGTACCTCTGGCTTGTACAAAGAATCAAAACTACTGCTTCTGATTATTACAGTGGAAATACACAACACTGAAGATGATTTATTCTTTGTAGAACAGGTATGGATCTTATTTTTTTTTCCAAGATGTTTGATAATTAAACTTAAACCTTAGAGTCAGGACATCCTCATTTCATGTTCCTGATAAAATATGCCTGACGCTGCTATTTACCCTTCAGCTGGAAGTATGTCAAATTGAAGACTCAGTAAATACTTCATACATTTAACTGCAAACACAGGGTGAGTTATTAGAACATTAATTCTCAATAAAGTTGTAATGACCTTTTCCAGTCAATCTGCATGCCCCAAATGCCTCAGAAGAATCAGAGGCCTCTTACAAGATTATGCATCAGTTTAATGTGATTTAATACGTGCTTTTCCAGAATGATCACCTGATTACTGTATCTTTGTGGGTCCTGCAGGTTCAATGGTGTTCATATTTAGTAGAATTACTTCAAACTGATGAAATATTTTACCTGTCGTATTTTTTTTTATATGCAAGTTAGATAGTTTTAATGAGGAAAATTTATTTACACATCGTCTAGTGTGTATAACAGAATACCTGAAGGTATGCTGTGGAGAGCAACTGTTGCTGACAATACTCTAAGATGAGGTGGTCAGTGTTGGTTCAGATCCTCCAATGGTAGATGTAGGCAGAGTTCCATTAGCTACATCCATTTATACCAGCTGAGAATAAATTTGTTTTGGAGAAAAGGCTTATATACTCTCAAGCAAGATACATTATTGGAATAAGGATTCAGGACAAAGTTTCCAGCTTCAAGTCAGTAGGTTGAACCTTGCATCAGTGACAGCCTGAAATATTGCTTTTTTTCTGAGACTTTTTTTTTTCAGTGGGTAGCATACATTACGTAGTACCAAAAATTTTCCCTTATTGTTTATTCTGAGATGGAGTACTTGAAAAGTGGCTGTTGAGTTATGAGCTATCTGTTGGGATCATAAATGTTACGGATCATAATGTTGGGATCATAATGTTGGGATCATAAATTTATGAGGGGTTTGCAGCCTTGTCTACACAGAACTTTCTTCCTCCTTTTTGGCTCTTTTGTCTACCTAGAAAAAATATTAAAAAGGAGAGGTTTTCAATGTGTGTGTGTGTGTGTGAGAGAGAGAATAATTCAAAGTGAGTGATAAACAGAGAAAAACTACTGAGTTTTTTTTTTTTTGTATTATTATCTGGATAATGGTTCAATTTTTGTATCCAAGGTAGTTTTATTTGCTCTTCGTTTTGGAATGGTACATTGCAAGACTTCTGGAAGTTAGTCTTTGTTTATTAATCTAGGGTCTAAGAATAAAGAACCAAGGAGCTCATGGAGTTTTGATGGTATTACTTGAATTAGAGGATACATAGAGGATAAAAGGAACTGCAGAGATATGTTCTATACATCCTTTTAGTAAAAAGTAGTAGTAGCTAGTGCCACAGTTCTATAAAAGCAGTTGCTGAATGTTTGGATCACAATGTTTGGTCTAAGAATGATTTTCATCTTGCTTATTTCTTATGTCTGCTGAATAGGATGAGTCAGCTCAGATCTGGTTTGGGGGATTACATATATGGCAATCGACAATATTACATGACCTTCATTTTTAATATAGACGAATACTTCAACTGAAAAGTCAAGTACTGTAGAATCTTTGAAAATAGTGTCAATAGAAAAACATTTTTGTTTATTTCCTGTGTTGTTTTGAATTTTTTATATTGTTTTTTGTTTCAGTATATGGTTTGTTCTGCATATAATGCACGACCATCTCTGTCACTTAGGGATTGTGAAAAGCTCTTTTTTTTTTGCAGATCATCCGGTGAATGAATTATTGGATGAGCTCAATCCCCACAAACTTCCTCAGGCAATAGATGAGCCCCACATTGATGCAGAATCATCTCAGACTGAACCCTGTACTTCAGACTCTGTGCAGGATTCATCTGAATATATTGGACCTTTTCTGTTGGATCCTTTCTTTCCAAGTTTTTTAGACTCTTTGGAAGAGGAAGAAGACTGTGAAAATACTACTGATGTTACAACTCCTCCAGCTTTGCAGTTTATCAATGGCAAACCACAAGTGACAAGTGCACCTAAAAGCACAAAAGCTGAGGAAGCCAGAAGTGACCAAATTGAAAGTGTTGCACATTCCAAAAATGTAACCTTTTCACAAATCAATGAAACAAATACATTTATAATATCTGAAAGTGATGCTTCTGATACAAGGCAATCGGGCAAAGCTGGAGAAGTAACAGGGGTGTTTGAAGTTACACAGCCGACAGCAGATGTTGCAATGTTAGAACCTGTATATAGTGGTGAGTCAGAAATTGCCACAACAGATAAATCAGTAGAGATTACTTCTTCATATGACCATTCTCTACAAAAAGGTAAATCGACTGTAACATGGCACAGAATGGATAAGACTTCTACTGAAGACACAAAAAACTTGCTCTTGGTTACAAGTGAATCATCTGGAGATGGCTCTACTGAATCTGATTTGTCTAATTCTATATTCTCAGAAACAGTAAGAATATCAAGAAAGGAAGATGATGAAAAAGAAATAGGTATAACTTCTGCTCCTAATGCAGTTACAGTGGAAAGTTCTGCTGTAACTTCTCCATTAGATGCAGTTTTTGATACTGCTACTGTTCGCATAGCTGTGAAGGACCTTAATCCTGAAGAGGTTACCTCTGTTCCAGGAGATCGTTATAAATCAACTGTTAAACTTGATGCACAGTCCTCAGTTGAAGGTGTTCTGGAAATGAGAAGTCATACAGAAAGGCCCAAGATAAGTGCTTCTTCATTTATAGTTACTGAAGGCTCAGGAGATGTAGAAGAAGAAATCACTATCGCTTCAGCAATGACAATAGAAACAGCAGTAACTGAAAGTCTTTCTATGAAAGATATTTCTTTGGGCTCTGGCACAATACTGCCAACAAAAAAGTCTGTAACAGTTTTGGGAATCGCCTCCTCTTCGGCTAGAGGCACAACCAGTCCTCCTTCTGCTTTTGATCAAAATTCTGGAGTAACTGTTCCCACAAAGTATGTACCTGAGTTTATTACAGAAAAAGTAGTTGTGAGCTCTATATTAACTGTAAATAAAACTGAAGATGAAAAAGAAATACCTACCACTGCTTATTCAGCTAAGAAAAATTCAGCTTCTGTTGTTGAGGGAAAATCAGAGTTGAATGAAATTGAAAGCACTACTAATGATGTCAGAACTCTAAGTCAGGAGCCCACCACTTTCAGAGAAACAGTACCAGGCACAAATATTGTACATTCACAAATTAAAAATGTTACTACCATTCCTCTCATGAAAGAGAAGAGGCCTTTCATAAGTGAAGGATCAGCAGAAGAACCAGCTGACATATTTTCAGGGGGTCCCACAAGAAAAGTGGTAAGTACTGACTCCCCACTTATTGATCCAGGTTCTGGAGATATAGATAATATCATTGAGTCTGCTACTTTGACTTCAGTTTCACCAAGGTTTATAGCTGAAACACAAACAGAAAAGCAGGAAGGAAATGTTTACAGCATAGATGCTTCATTGAAGAGCACAACTTCAGAATATGAAGAACGTACAAGAAGTGATAAATTAGCAGTATCAGTTTTAAGTACTGGGTCAGATGACTTGATGAAGGAAGCTGACGTAGCAAGTCAGATGTCCCAGAATATTTTTAGTACAGGAAATCCAGGAGAACTAAAACAGGAAGCAGAAGCAACTTATACAGTGCCTTCTCAGGAAAAATCTAGTCCTGGTTCTAGAGAAGAGGTGACATCTCATGTTACATCAGGAGATCAACCTGAATATTTACAAATGGGTGAGGTCACATCGTCTCCAGAATATGTGGTTAAGAACAACCCCCCTGGAATCACGGTGACGCATGGTATTGGCAGTATAAAAGCAGTAGCTGAATCTACAGAAAGCAAAAATGAAAAAGATGGTTCTTCAACTGTCTCTTTAGGCAAAATTTTCCTAATGGAACTTGGCTCTGGAGAAGAATTTAAAGGTGACAGCAGCATCTCAAAACTAATATCTAATGGACGTGCTGAAAAAATAGTTGTAACTAATTTCTTATTTACTGATCAAGGATCAGGAGAAGCAGAGGCTGTCACTGAATCATCTGCAAAGATAACAACTTCACCAACTAGCAGAGCAGAAATACAGGAGAATTATGACAAAGAAGTGGTAAGGATATCATCTGTAGATTATGCCTTCCCTACTCAACCTGTTACAAGTACTGAACATGAAGTAACTACACTGAAAATTGTAACAGGCATAAAAATGGAAGAGAATGTGTCAGTTGATGAAGTGATGACAAGAGATTTTATTACACATTTTCCTTTGGAGAAAGACACACATTCTGGGGAGAATAGGCTAATCTCATCAAAAGCTACAGAATCTTCTGAAGAAACAACAGAGGACCCATTCTTTAAAAGTACACAGTCTAAACTTGAATATCCAGGATTTTTAAATGTTCCCACAGTAAGGCCATTTTCAGGAGAAAATAAGTTAGAAACTGAATCTGTTAAAAATATATTTTTGCCATTTCATGAGGATAGAGTAACTGAGCCTGTAAAGTTTGAAAGCAAATATATAAGCTCTTCGGTTACAGGTACAGAAGGAGAAAATTATTTTGGACAAGAGGTTTTCCCTACTGAGGATATTCCCAGGTCACTCCTGACACCTAAAGAAGACAAGCTAACAAATAATGAGATCACTAATGACCTGTTAATTTCAGGAGAAGGATCAGGAGGTGACCTTACTGTTAGTCCTTCTATAGTGCCACTGGCTGTCAAAGACATCACAAGTACTTTAAGTCCCCAAACTTTTCATTCTGCAAATGTGGGATCCAAACTTTCAACTGACATGACACAAGACTTTGAAACAGTTAGCACTGAATCAAACACTGAAGTTAAGGAAGAAGTTACAAGTGCTGCAGAAGAATTGATTTTAGAATCACCAAACTCAATAACCACCAGTTCCCCAGCTTTAACCAAAGCGAGTTCCAAGAGCTTTGGCACTAAAGACGTGAAAGAAGTGAAACAGTATTTTATTGTGAGTGAAGAACCTCATACTAAAGAAACTAACTATAAGAGAGAAGCAAATGAAACATATAGGACAACGACTACTTCCAGAGCTGTTTCTCAAGAGGAAATTCAACATTTGCTTATTAGAGATAGTGTAACTCCCCCTTCTGTAGTAATCAGTGGAACTCCTAGTCTTGAAATAGAAGAATCACTCATAACATCAACATTAAAAAGACCAAGCAGACTATTACCTGAAAGCTCTGGAGAAGGATCTGGTTGGGTTGATGTTTCAGTTTCATCTTCCCCGGATACATTTACCCACTTGTCAACTCCCCCCATGGCAAAAGTAGAACTAAATCCTTTATCTAGTGTTCCTGCAGAAGTTTATTCTGAAGTTACAGCAACAGAGGCATCAATATCACAGATTGCGATCACTGGATTATCATTCTTCTCCACAGAAGAAAAAGAGACAGTGACAAATCTGACTTCTGTTCAGTCAAGGACAGCTACATCAGAAGAAGTAACAAGTGATAATGGTATATATGAGAAGAACATTCCAGTGTTTGATGATAAAAGATATGTACAGAATGTTTCAGTTTATGGTGATATTACACTAATTGAAGATCGACTTGAAATCATCCCAGAAAAATCAAAAATTATAGACATGGATCACTCCACATCAATGCCTGAAGATATAATAAGCGTGCAGACAGTGGCAAACCGTGCCATACAACCAACATATAGCAGTGATGTTAACATGAAAGTTGAAATGGAGAAATATGATTCAACATCTAATTTTGACTTACACAAAGAAAAGTCACTTGAGTCTGGTGATAATCTTTCCTTGACTACTTCCAGTCAGCCAATAAATAGTGAATCGACAATAGCTGAGCACAGACTAAAATCAAATGACAAGGATGTGGGTTCAGGCGATGCCATGGAGTTTACAACAGAAACTTTCAGCACTACTGAACTCTCTAAACTAGACGTTTTCCTTCCAACTGTACCATCACTAGCAAGCCCTCATGTACCTCATGAATCTAAAGTCACTGAATTTGTGACTAAACATGTCACACTGGCAAGCACAATGGAAGACACTTATGAGCTGAATATTTCAGCAAACAACCAAGTAATAGCAGATCAAAGTGAAACCATTTCCATCTCTGGTATTTCTGGAATGGGCCAAAAAGAACTAGATCATAAGAAACCTGTGGTTCCTTCCCTTAGACCAGATTTGATTACGGAGACAGAACAAACTTTGACAACCAACATGTTTGATGTAAGTATTGCCACCACACAGCATACCTCCCCCTACATAACGGTGTCATCTAGCAAGGATGAAGAAGAGCCCTCTACAGTTTATATAGCCACAGAAAAAACATCAACAGAATCAGAAGAAACAGATTTTTATTCGGTACCTCAAACTCCTAAATCCTCAGTAACTGTTCAGTTAGTTAATGGAGTATCTGAATATCCCGAAGTTGTCATTCCAAGTACTTTGTCATCAGAGGATTCAGATCAGTCCAACTATTCATCAGAACAAACCTTCAAAGAGGTTAATTCTGATATTGCAGCAACATATAAACCACTTATTACAGAATTTTCTGAAAAAACAAAGTCTCTACCACAGTTTTCTCCTGAACCTGAATCAGAAAGCACAACTACAGAAAGTATTCCTCATTTTAGTAGATTTGTAACAGACAAGAGAGAGGAGACAGAGACTTCTGTAACTGATCTGGTTGTTATGGAAGAAACTACTGTTTCTGGAGATTCTCCATCAATACCTGTCTTCCCTACTGCTTTTTTGAGTTTTAGAGAAACAAAAGCGCAAAGCACAGTTGTTCCCAAAGTTAGCACAACTGAAGTTGAAACTTCTTCAGGGAGAGTGAAAGATCCTAGTCAAGAAGATGACAGCAGTAACAAGAAAGAAATTCCATGGCTTTTTTCCACACCTGTTTTGGTTTCTCCTGATAGTGTTGGAGGTAGAGGATTTACATCTGAATGGGAGGCAGTTACAATGTTAACTTCATCTTCAAAACCTCTGCAAAGAAGCATGGAAACAAAATCAGCTTTCTTTGTGCAAGAGGATAGCACAACAATTTCTTCTAACATTGCAACAACCAACAGAGCCCCTGGAAAGAGTCCTTATCAAAATAAACAGACAACAATAAGTTCTGAGGAGTTAAACAATGCTGAACTTGTAACTTCATCATTTTCCCTTCCTGAAGTCACTAATGGATCAGATTTCCAGATTGGCAGCAGTGTGGGTTCAGTTGAAGGCACAGCAGTGCAAATACCAGGTAACTTCCCAATCTGATCAATGTTTATTTTGATACTTGTATATGTTTTTCCTAACTCTAATAAGAGGTATGATAACTGAAACATTGTTGAAAGGCATCAAAACTCATGAGCCTCAAGCTTTGAAATCAGGATAATTGTTGATTGTGTATAAAATTAAGAAGAATGTGGAGACTGGAATCCAAGCTCAGTGACTTTTTGAGTGTTTGCACCTGGATCACAGTTAAGGTGACCAGCTAGTTCTAAAAGGCAGGAAGGTAACATTGACTGTGGTAGAAAGTTCAGCAGTACTCAACTTTCAAATTTGTAATAGAAATAGATATAACTATCTTATCTGATAGGTTTTCTCTCTTAACATGATGATGTCATGCATATATACTATTGATTTATAAGTAGTCTTTTTATAACATACATAACTGACTTGGATTAAAACTGAATTATTTTCAGTCTACAAGATTATTTTCAGATTGACAAACGAGTCTCTGCAAATTCTGCTGTCTGCAGTTGAACTGGTTGATGCAGTGTCCAACTCACATAAATTCAAGAGCTCTCTGTTAGACATCATTTGCCACAATATTTTGCTTTATATTACAGTTGTTAGGCACTGTTTCACGAAATACACAGATGATACAAATAAGCGCAGTTTAAGTAGTCTCGCTTTAATTCGTAATTTATCTAGATACCGCTGAGGAAAGAACTAAATGAGCTTAATATTGTGGGAGTTTTATTATTTAATCTCCAATCATCCAGGTAACTGTCAATCAAAAAATATTTACTGGGAAAATATCTAGTCCTTAGGAGGACCAGCAGACATAAACCCCCAATAAATATACTTAAGTATGTCCTACATTTTGGACATTCAGCAATGCCATCACAAAGCAAGTACCCAGCTTTATGAAGGTGATCGGGTTCTTTTGAAGCCCTCCCAAACTGTCCACTTAATTACTTGCCCAAATTTATAGCAACAGGATTTTCTGAAGCTACTTTTTTTTCTAGTGGCTGCAAAGGGAACTTCTGTGATTTAAGAAACCTGCTCCGTTACAAGTTTAGTTTGCAGTGGTAAAATAATTGTTTCTTATTTTTTTATTTCTTAAAGGATAGTCAAAGTATCTCGCAAAAACACAGCCACCAATCTATTTTTCTTCTCTTTGTGTGTGTGTGTGTTTTTGTGTGTGTGTGCGCCTCTGAATGAAATTAGGTACAGAACTTTTTGTCACTTTGTAAGTTCTCAAATAAAGCCAGGACTCTGTTTTGGTACCACAGAGGGAAGTACTTTGTGCTTTTACTCTAGCTTTGGAAAGCTGGTACTTAAAATGGTTGTCTGTTGCATTTCTGTTCTCTAAGTGATCACTTTTATTCATTAAACCAAGTGCAATTACCTAAGTGTAACTCAGTGTACTCAGTTGAAATAAACGTCACTAGAAGGCATCAAAACTCTTCAAAGAAAAGCATTTAAATGATAGCTCCCCTACCAACTGAGGATTTCACAGCAGGTAAGATTTATCTTAATGTTTTAGCGCAATTGTGAATGTGTTTAGTATATTTACTTTTCTGAAGTGTGTCTTCAGGATAGACAACTGAGAAATATGTTTGTTCCTTTCAGAAAAATAAGACTTTGTGGGAATTCATTGGTTAAATACAAAAATAGATAAATAAATAAATAAAGCCAGATGATGTGTTAGAGAGATGTATGTTCTGTGTACCCAGTCATGCTACACAAACTAACCTTGTTCAGTAAATGCATTTTCCATTCATTTTGCATTTCTTTAACAGTTTTTAGCTATAATTGTCATGTCATGCCAACTAAATCCTCATTAGAATATCACAACTACTTGTTATAGTACCAAGTCCTACAAAATGCAACCGTTCTGAAAATGATTTATATTTGTTCATTGTAAATATCATGTTATTGTTAAAGTTGCAAATAATGATGCTTGAAAATAGGAAGCTGTACTGTTTTACAAAGCATAGTCTTCTATAATGTTGTTACAGTTTCTGTAACTGTAAACAGTAAAGCCTACAATATCAAAGCAAAAATAAGGAACGTATTTCTTCTTCCAAAGAACCAACACCACTTTTTTTTTTCTGAAAACTGCAGAGTAAATATGCATTTTCTATTTGTTGAACAGGCCAAGATCCATGCAAAAGCAATCCCTGCCTAAATGGTGGTACCTGCTATCCGCGTGGTTCATTTTACATCTGTACATGTTTGCCGGGTTTCAGTGGGGAGCAATGTGAATTAGGTAAGCTGATACCATCTACATCCTAGTTAGAATATAAAGTCTTTGTATGTCTGATTTGGACAGGAAATAGTGCATTTTAAAGTTGATAAACAGCTAGGCATTGGAAAAATTCTACCATCAGGCCTGAAGAACAATAAAATTGAGGAGGTCCACTTGCCACTTTCCCTTATAAGTTGTGCATGCACACATACACACACAAATCTATAGGAACTATTAACTAAGCAGAATGATCTAGAAGTCATGAAAATGATTTTATAACAGCATTAAATAAAAACAAATAAGCATTATTATTTGAATAGATCCTTAAAAAGTTTGTCTAATAATTTGAGAGGGTGATAAATTTCCCTAGTCCCAAACATTATTAGGAATCAGAGCCCTGAATACCAGCTGATTTTTTTTTTCAGGCAAACTGTAAATATAATCATACTCAGATACAAAGATATTTTTTTTTCTGTGGCATTGTCACACGCCTTGGAGTCAAATGCAGAGTCAGATTCCCCACATAGTAGGGGAAGTACTGCATTCTGTGCAGTTCACCTCCTTTCTCAATAACAATGAGATGAAAATCTAGGTTTTAGAAATTAACTCAGAAGTCATGCTGCAAGGTAGAAGAGTCTATATGTATAAAATTGTGATTCATTAATATCCCTTTCCCAAGGGAACTGCTGTTTTTTTTGTGGGTGGGGAGAGTGGAAGGTTGTGTATAGTGAAGTCAAGATTATGCAAAGAAGAAAAACCACCCTGTTAGATCTTTTGCAATACTATTGTGCCTAATAGTAATTATGACTAAAGATGAAGAACATTTCCTTTCTAGTAGATAGGTGAATTATAAAAATTCTTCTATATTTATTTTGTAGATATTGATGAATGCCAGTCTAACCCATGCCGGAATGGAGCAACATGTATAGACGGCCTCAATACATTTACTTGTGTCTGTCTGCCAAGCTACATAGGTACTCTCTGTGAACAAGGTAAGGCACAATTTTTAATCTGTGGTGATCTAGATCTCAGAAATGTTGTCATCAAAGATGACAACAAAGCTCCATAACTTTTCAAGGAGCTCTAATACGAGTTTTTACTATTAACACTAAAAGCACTAGCAGTATTGTGGCATGGTGTTAGCAGTTTTAAAGTATCAAAGGGGATATAGGCTGTTGGTGCCTTCCAATCAGGCTTCTTCCCTGCAGTTTTTAAAATCTGAAAGTTCATCAAAATCACAGAAACATAGGATGGTTTAGGTTGGAAGGGTCTTCTAAAGAGCATCTAATCCAACACCCCTGCTCAAGCAGGGACACCTAGAGCATGTGGCACAGGTTGCCTATAAAGTTAAACTGTACCATCATGGAAGATTCTCAACTACTCTTCATTATGAAGAATCATACCAGCATCTAGATAAGACTCTCCCAACTTTCTACGCTCAATTTCATTTTGGAAAAAAATATCTGTTTCCTTCTGTAAAAACTAGGCAAAGTCTTCTACAGGAGTGGATGAATGGACAAATCTGTCAAAATCTGTGGGGGGTCATAGGTGATGAGGAGAGGTTAGAATTTTTAGTACTAGTAAAATCTGAGTATGTCAGAGGCCCACCTTTTGTGGCTCAGGACTTTATTTAAAGTTCCACCTGTGCAATCTTTCACAGATGGACAGGAGCGAACTCCATCCACATTAACTAGAAGCCATATTACTGCTGCACTGAATATGAACTAACACTTTCTTTTTCTCAGTGTGTCTCATTTGGGCAGGCTTGGTGTCTAACTACAGCCATTCAGTTTTCATGTGGCTCTGTGGGAAGCACAACATGCTCATATTTACTTGCAAACTACTGGAAAGACAAATAAACAGTCTGTAGTGATTATTTATAGTAAGAGGGAGTAGGGGGATTTTCTGACAGAGCTTCTGCCTCACAAAGCTGTAAACACTGTGAAAGACCCAACACTTAGAACAGGCACCATTTGAAAGCAGTAATATTCTGCTGAATATACCTGATCACACATCCACTCACCAGGGGCCATACCCTTGACATCTGCATCCCAGACTCTTCCAGAATCACTCGTTCTGTGATTATTCTAGGAAAAATAGGTGCAGAAGCACAATTACAAGGAAGCTGTAAGAGATGTTCTAAACTGGATGGTTAAGAGTAGATTAAGTATCTGAGTCTCCATAATTGTTAGAACATTACCTGCGTAAAATTCTCCTATATTTAAGAGAAATGTTTACAGTGCAAGATACTTACTCAACGTGTGTGTGTCTGAGAGAAAGAAGGGTATCAAAATCTGGTCAGTCAGTATAACTAAGGTAGGCATCTCCTTAAGAAAAAAAGAAATTGTGCTTTAAACTTCCTAAAGTCTGTAAAATATTTTTATCTTTTTCTTCAACTGAATGGTTTTATTCACTGGCCAGTGAACTAGAAATTCTGATATTGTCTTATTAATAGTGAATATTTCAAGGCTTGTGTCTTATCTTCAGCTAAATGAGTGAAAGACAGTTTGCAAATTCTTCCAGGTCAACTTGTGGAGTTTGTTTGTTAGAGCAGAGGCCTCAGGGAACTGACTAGCTCCAGCAGTTGTCACTTGTCACTGTTTAACTCTGTTAGTAGTCTGGCTCACTTTGCAGTTTGAAAGGCTTTTCTAAATCTGTTCTCCAGAATTACAAGTTGACCGTGTTTTCACAACAGAAGAAAAAAGTGTTCATGTTCCCTTCCTCCTCCCCTTCATTTCAACAAATCCATAGTAGTGAATGGCTCTGAGTAGTAGTAGTACTCAGTAGTAGTTTTAAGCAGCTTTTTATGACCAACCTGAGAGTGCATTTTAGGTGGTTAATGGGAACATTTCCTAGTTTGTCAATCAGAAACAGAGCTCTGCTCAGTCAGCTTTGGAATTTAAATTTCCTCCACTTAATGTCTTGCAGTGGTTTGGGACCTGGGAAAAGTGTTCAGTGCCAAATTTCCATTCCACCAGACAAAATAAAACTGTGTTGGCAATTCAGACACACTTGTCTGGCAAGCAGACTTTATTTCAAGGCATCAGTCCTGACCTCACTAGATTTAAAGACCAGCCAGAATGACAGAACGTGTATCTCAGTGCCACAGGAAAGGTGGAGCTGAGCACACCAAGATTATGTTTCATAACTACTTTTTTTTTTTCTTCAAGTACATATTATTTATTTCAGAGATCTTAAAAATAACAATAATAATAATACATCTGGAGGTCTTAGTAGACATGGTGCTGAATATTCAGGATGTCATGAAAGTGGGATTAGAGTATCTATCTATGTTACGAGGAAAGACTAAGGGAGCTGGATCTGTTTAGCCTGGAGAAGAGAAGACTGAAAAGGGATCTTATCAACATATACAAATACCTGAGAGGAGGTTGTAAAGAGGATGGGGCCAAACTCTTCTTGGTGGTAGCCAGGGAAAGGACAAGGGGTAATGGGTGCAAACTGAAACACAGAAGTTTCGTCTGCATATGTGATTCTGTGAATGGAAGCATCTAGTGCATGTTTGTAAAAATGAAACAACAGTTCCCAAAGCACTGTTTTAGGAAAACATAGAGTTCAGAGTATAGCCAAAAGAGAACAGAGTTCAGAATATAGCCCTGTGAGACTTTCACAGAATAAGAACTCCCTCATCTGATGTTTGAACTAAGATATCTGCATGGGATTAAGCAACTGTCGGTGTTAGGGGAGGGCATGGCTAGAGGACAGTGTGGCTGCATTTGGGGGATTTAAAGCCCTTCAAGGAGCACTGTCAGGTGATTAAAGTTAGAGCGGGCTTCAAGGTGATCTAACTTAGCATAAAAGAAAGAGCATAAAATCAGTGAGCTGTAGTTGGCCCTTTGACAGGCATTTTTTCTTGCAAGGCAGAATTG